ATTTTACACTTTCTATACCTTCATGAATCCAGCCAATCGCAGAGCTCGTCAGCCAGCGTCTTGAGCCCGCCTTCCACAGTCAGCGTCATCAAATCAACCTGTGATTGGTCAAGCTGTGGGGGTCTTCAGACCAATGACCAAGCCATGTGATGAGCTCATTATGCCTGTTGCCATCACTGCAACCAAACAGGAAGGGTTGTGAGTACATTAGTTTAAATGAGGGTTTAAAATGCAATGCCACAGTGTAGCAGATATACATTTCTGCATTGCAAATTCGTTTAATGTGATTTTATCATTGTGCGTGGCCTCCTCTGAGCCATGTTTAAATACATGTGTGGTTTCAACGCATGCAAATGGCTGTGTGTGGAACTGCATACTATGGAGATGATCAGTTTATGCATCACAGCTCAGCTGGACCGTCACGCACTCTGCATGCAATTATGACATGCAATGGAAAATTGCATAACTCGTACACACACACACACACACTCATCCAGGGTAATCTCCAAAACACGCCACACCCTGCTCTGTTGTTCTGTTAAAGCTCCAGAGAAGTGGCAGGGGTTGATGTTCATTAGATATGTGAACAGTTGTGTGTCTTGTCTTGTGTAATGTTAACATTTAACTACGAGAAGGAAGAACTAGAGTTAATGCTCAAAGGCCAGTTTCATCCTGACCTATAAAACAAAGTGAAAACGAAAGGGAAATGGAGGCCAAAATGTAGCTTATTCAGTCATATTGAGACTTTCAGGTTGACTAGATACACACTTTGATGGGGATATTATGAAGTACAAAGGGTATAAGAAGAAAAGGGCTCTGCTTTAAAAGGGGGCTATTTGAGTTTTTGACTCAAACAACGAGGAAACAAACATCTTTTCTGGTCTGACTAATAAACAAGCCTTTAAAGACAAGAAGCACAACAGAGAAATATAGTAAACTTCCTTGAGCACCAAAGCAGTAATTATATATACCGGTATATATATATATATATATATATATATATATATGATTTAAAAATATTATTTATAAGAGTACTGATTTTGTGCTTGAGTAAGATGTTTTTATTTGTTTATTTTTCTCAAATTTATACAACTGCATTATCTCCTTTGTATTCTCTTTTTCTTTCATTTGGATACATTTAAAGAGAAAGTCAAAAGCCAGTCAAGTGTCAATCAATCAAAAGTCAAATACCACAAATTCACACTGCCTCTTCAAAACACACAATCACAGACAAATTAGGCCTCCTTGTTACAACCAGCAACTGGTTCATAGTGCCTTATTTTCCAGCAAACCCTACCCTTTGACCTATCCTTAACAGGTCAACGAGCCCTCACAGCAAGCGTCCAGGCTTCCCTGTCAATCAAGCAAAGTGTGACCCCAACTCCTCCACCCCCATCCAATTACGAGCTTTTGTAAAATATTTGATTATTTTTTAGGGTGAAGAAAGAAATTCAAGGGTGCAAAAAAGTGACTTAAAAACTTGACAGAATAAATATTGCCCGGAGATTTGTGCATATTGATGGTTCCTGCATTAAATACATATTTGGGGTGTTTTAGTGGTTGCAGGATACATAATCAAATAGGCCTACACAATACAGTGTTACTAATTATGCTAAAACCATAACAAAAATTATATAACTGGCTTTTGAAACACTAAAGGACCCAGAAATGATAAGATGTTTAATAGTACCTGAAAAATAACACTTTGAATACGTTCATTTCTTGCATGTCTCTAATAAAAGTATTAGTACCAAGCATTATAATTTCAAGAGCCTTTTGTGACAACACATTTAATCAGAAATCAAACTCAGACTACAAACTTTATATAACCTAGTTTAAGTTTAAATTTGGAAACTGTTAGGTTTCTGTTAACTGTTATATAGGTTTACCCTTTATAGAGTAAACCTATGGCAAATTAGCCTTCCGGGTTGGCCTACACTGACATCATCGTGACCGAACAGCTTTGAAAGGTAAAGACAAGGAGCTTCATTTTTACTCAGTCAAAAAAAGATGGTGTAATGTAGATTATGTAGAAATGTAGATTAGCTTTGAGATAAACTGTTTCCGCACCACTAGCAACACCGAACGGAATTGCAAAAATTGGCTAACGTACATGAAACTACAATTAGATGAAAAAAAAAGACACTTCGCCTTTAAGAGCGTCGAGTGTACCGCCTCTGAACAAGAGTGAACGATGGCGATGTTTTAGCAGCAGAGGGCGCTGTTTCACAGATAAATACAAGTGGATACATTCTAAAGTTCTCAGAAGTTCTCTTCCTCCTTCAGGCTGATTAAATTAAATGGGTTTACGTTTGATTCCAGGGTTCTCCCTCTAAAACGAACGATTCTCGTTTCATGTTAAACCCATGCTCTCTGGTTCGGGCAGAAACGTTAAGTGTTAACGGTCTCCCTGTGGCGTGAATTTCTAGTTCATTATGAAAGCAAATCCTAGTTCATTTTGCATCTTGCTTCAGTTCAAACAGGATCTAGAATAGCAGACCTTGTTGTATTTCAAACGGAACCTACAGAAACTTAAGTGCATGAAAAAAAGAAAAATCTTTATGCGTGCTTGTACAGGCCTGGATTCATGTTCAGCAGCTTTTAGAATAATTGTCCCAACCAGTCCCAAAAAAAATCACCATGGTTTTACTATGGTGTATTACTAGTGCCATGCCAAATTTAGTATTATAATGGCTTTTTAGGTTTAGTGAATCTACCATTCTTATTACTGGTACTCATTGAATCAGTTTTTAAATTAAAAAGTTACATTTGTTAATTTTAGTTTGTTATATTAAAAATGTTTGCCGTTTATTAATAGACAGCATGGTGAACATTTTTTTAAATATTAGTTGAATCTTAAAGTGTTTACTAACAGATACAAGATACCATCACAATCAGGATAAAATTAGGAAACTGAGAGATGCAAATGGAGTAAAGGACGAGAAAGCCAGATCCGTTTTTACCTGTTTTAATGAACCCTGATTACAGTTTTAATTACAAGAGCAAAGGAAACCACATGAGAAACTAAAGTATACATGGTTCCTTGTAACGTCAAGTTTCGTCTCTCTTTACAAAGTATTACATAACCATTGAGAGACAGATGGAAAGCTTTAAGAAAGAAGCAAAAGACCTTGAACACAAAGAAATATTTGTCTTTTTCTTACATCATCCCCTCAAAATGGAAAATATATATTTATATATGTACACAACCAAAAAAGAGAGACATTAAAATAAAAATAATGTGATAGCATTATGTCACTCTTCCCTCCTCAACTGGTTTTCTTAATTACAACTAAAAACCAGCATTAATACAAAGCCAGAGCAATTTAATATCATGGTATCAAAGAGGGTAGAGGAGTACGATTTATTAAAATGTTCATCTTGAGAGGTTAAAATTCAGGTAAGGGGTACAAACGAAATACCAGCAATAATATCAACATTAAAAATGATAAATGGTAATATAAACAAAAAAGGTATAATAAAACAGCATGGTTTATATTGAAGAGAGAGCGAAAAGAAAAAGTATTTTCTAACAAATAAGGCAGCAGTCAGTTGAAATACAGATACTGAACCTGTGTAAGGCCGCCAAACAAACTCAAAAAAGTAGTTTAAAAAAAAAAAAGAAGGAAAAAAATGAGTGTTAAGTGTGTCAGGTCCTATACTTCCTCCTTAGATGAGGGCTAAGAGGCTGCATGTCCACTTTCTAGCTGTCAGTTTGCAGAATTGAGGTCCCTTTCTCAAGGATATGGTCATGATGTCATTTACTACAAAGTCCCTGCATTTTGCTACAAATGGAGCTGGCCGTCGCCAAACGCTAAGCCAAATAGGATGTGATACCTGTTCAATCTTGATCATCGTGGAGAAAACACAGCCTCCTACAACTAAAACACTGCAGAGAGACTGAGAGGGAGAACGCAAAAGCGGCGGGTCGAGTTAAAACTATACGTATTCCTTATAAGGCCGAGGACAGCTGTGCCGTTAAGGGTCCTTAACGATTGGTCAGTTATGTTTACCTTTGTCTATAACAACACTTTTCTTTCACAGTAAAGCACTGTAGGGCCCTGAAACTAAACATCTTCCTTACATAGATTTTCCATATAGATTTACCTTCTGAAATATAATTTGTATCAAAACCAGCGTTTGTTCTTTTATCAAATATATATGTCTATAAAGTGAGAATATACGGACTCTAAATGCAAATCTTATTTAGGATAGTTTCTTTTAAGGTACAAAACTAAATAAGGCATAAAAGCAGTGTTTGAGGTCATGTTTCTAAGGCCTCTCCTGTATGTGAGCTTGTACGTGTCAATAAAGCAACCCATTTAAATGCATTGGGCGGTCAGTCTTCCGTAAAAAGGCACAGATGTTTGTTCATTTGAAGTTTTATATTCAAAGGCAACCTATTGGATAGAGGAAAGCGATGTGGGGAGGTATGCCTGAGATTTACGCCTAAAAAACCAAGAAGGTTTGTGTTCTTTCCAAAATAGAAGGGTGTAGAGCATTGTATAAATGGTTTTAGGGATGATTATGAAGTTCAAACCATAAAGCGCACTCTGATACGTTGCCCCAACATTCCTATAACGTTCCCTCAGGGTTAAAACTGCATTATAAAACAAATTAAATAAATAAGTTGGAGAAGGAATAATATGTGATCTATAATTTGTCATCCAGCTGGTGGTCATGAAGAAGGACTAACACATATATAGAATAAATCCCCCAATGTATATACACGTGTTAAGATACGTTAAGAGGTTGTTGAGTGGTCCCGTTAAGTCGTCTGAGCTCGCTGAACAGCTGGGGAAGTTGGTGTCCAGAGCCGGTAGTGAAGGCTGGTAGCACAATAGCATTAATGGCTCTGAAAGGCATTGACAGGAAGGTCCTGGTTTGAAAGCCAAAGGCAAGTTGGTTCTGCAAAAAGTCTGGTGCTTGAATCTTGGTATGTAAAAAAAAACAAAGAGCATCCATATCCAAAAATTCTGAGAACTATGCTTGAGTTTGAGTGGGGGGGGGGGAGTTGCAGGATCTTTCCTGCATTCACTTCATCCAAGAGTGTCTGTTTAATAGTGAAAATGTCCACTTGCCCGTGACAAGCCAAAAAACACTTATCACAATCTAATTATTCATTATCACCATCTCTACTGATGTTTTACAGGGGTGCATCAACATCTGGTTTAGGCACTTCTGTAATCTCTTGATTTTGTTTAAACAGGTATTGAGTTGATCCTAACGGGGAGCTTCTTGGGGGGAAAAGTGTCCAAGACTTCAATGAGACTAGTGGGATGGTGTTAGTCTAACACAGCAAACAGAAAGGAATGGGTTCAGTAAGCAAGGGACTCTGGCTAAACTTGTGGAAAGGGCCTGGTTACTTAAAATGCATGAAAAAAAGATGTCAGTATTAATTTTTAGTGTTGCAACATCTTGAAGAGAGTGAACCTGCATGTACAGAAGTTTGAAAGATGGTTTGGGCATCATAACTTGCTGAACGGATGGTCTTCACATAACTTCTGAGAGCAACAGTTGCCTTCAGCCTGTAAGGAGGACAGCTCTGTTTTGCTAAGTTTGTGTGTTTGACCACGTCCACTTCAGCAAACGTTGTTTTCTAAAGACAACTGTGCCGTTGCTCGCTGCAGCTCAGAGCTCACCCTCCTCTGGCCTGTCCCCAGGGGTGCAACTAAAGTCTCCGGACTCCTCCGGTCTCCATTTTCCTCCCCCAGTTTGGGCTCCACCTCCTGGTTAAGCTCCTCCCTCTCTGCCCTGCTCTTCTTGTCCTCAGCCTCTTCGGTTCCCGCCTCCATCCGCTGGTCCTCACTCCAGCGGCGTTTAAAACGCAGCTTCAGAGGGATGCAGAGTGTACCCCCAGGGCTGATGGGAGCGCCCTGGCCCAGGTTTAGCTCCCTGGGTTCTGCTTTTAGACCTAGAAGATTCTGCCCAACCCCTGAGGTAGGGGCAGCTGGGGTCTTGAAGACATCTTCCTCAAGATCGTCATCATCTGTCATACGATCGTGGATGGGTGGAGGGGCAAGGCCACCATTGGGGTGGGGAGGGGAAAAGACATCACATTCATCATCTTCATGCTCCTCCTCGCTGATGTCGGTGACCTCGACTTCTTCCTCCGACTCCATGTCTGAGATGGGCTCAACCTAAAGGAGGAAACAAATGGAGAGTTACAGAAAGCCATTTAATTCTCAAAGAAGCGACAGTTCTTCAGAATTAATTTTAAGGTGAACATACCTTGATCTTTGGTGGACCACCTGGGGTTGAATTGTTGGTCATCATTCCAGATGAGGCAGAGTTTGAGGACGAACCAGACTCCCCACTGTACGAGAAAGAAGCAGCAGCACTTCCAGAATTCAGAGCATGTCCTGATCCAGTTGAGGTTGGCCCTTCTCTCTGTTTGCGGCCCAGTGGTGGTGGCTGTAACTTAAACTTGAAAGGAGATAGATGAGTCTCCTCAGCCTGGTGGTGCAGAGGGTGACTTGACAGGTGTGGACCTACACCCACTGGCCCTCCCAGTCCCTTGTCTGGGCGTTGGGGCTGGGGGATGATAATGTTGGGGTAGTGCAAGAAAGCACGGGGACTCAGATGATAGTTGTAGACACTCTGAGTGTGAGCTTGAAGATAGCGCTTCATGTCTTCTGGATTGAACGAGAAGTGGGAGCCCAGCATGGGAGAAAGGGATGGAGAAGGTGTGTAGGGCATGTGAGATGTAGGGGTCATGGAGAGAGCTGGTGAAAGAGCAGGACCCAGCAAGCCTCCAGGGCCTGGGAGAGGGGACACTGGGAATGGGGACAAGGAATCAGGGTGGACCCTGTGAGTGGGCACATGGGGCCCGCTCCTGGTGAGCCCAGTTGGGTTGGGTGGTGCACCGTAGACACGGAACAAGGAGTCGTGGGACAAGCGTGGATGGAGCAGATTTCTAAAGGCACGGTCAGCCGGGCGGTCATCGCCAGGAGCCATGCCAGTTTCTTCAAGCTCCGAGTTGGTGGAGGTGCCATCGCTGCAGTCGGACACAGAGCCACGAGCTATGCGTCGAGGCACAGCACTGAAGACACCTGGACTGCGCAGTTCCTCGCTAGGAGAGAGGACGTCCGATGGCGTGGATGGAGGGAAGCGGAAGTGAGTGCTAACTCCGGATGGGACAGGTGGAGCACTTTGTGGAACACCAGAACCTAAGGGAAAGGTTGAGAAATTTTAATAGCTGAAGTCTTGTTTTACTTTATATATGAAACTAAATGAGTTTCAGAAAGATTAAGATTTAGAAGCAGGGATCTTCACCTGCAGAGCCCATGTCAATGAACGGATAGTTGACCAGCACCAGCTTGTTGAAGTTGAACTTGTAGGTGAATCTTTTCCCTTTGGTCTTGTGCAAGATCCTTTTGTTGTAGTAATATCTGCAGAAACAGTATTGGCATGGTTAAACACTTGTTAAAGCCATTTTTAGGAATCACAATTTGTTGAAGGCCGCACATTTTTATGTATTTGACATTCTCACTCTAGCCAAACTTTGCACAGGAAATGTCCAGTTTAGAGATGAAAAGGTTCTACAACATTGAATTAGCATGTTTCCTAAGGAAAAAATAAGGTGATCAGTTTTCCAACACATAACACATCAACTTCTAGTTCTCTTTACTTTCAACAAGTGATGCATCGAAAATGAAATTGCTTGGCTGAAACTGAAAACTCAGGGCCAAAACTTCTGAATACCAATAAATTATATTAATATGATATTTTTAAGTGATCACACTATATTTCTTTAATTGGAGTGACTTTACAATAGCAAAAATAAACAGTTAAAACAGGTGTTACATCAAAAATTACATTCATTAAACTGAATGAGATCACATGCACTTTTTATGCTTGACAAGTTCTTAATTTTAAATAGATCTGTTAAAAAAAAAGTAATAGGCACAAAAAAATCTTGTCTGTAGCCAATATTTCAGTAAAATCAATAAAAATTTAACAAAGTACTATGAAGTTTCTATAATGTAAATTATAGATCATGATGTTGTTCACAATGTTTTCACCTTGACTATCTGATACAATGTGCGAGATATATTTTGAATGAAGAAACATGGAAAAGTAGTGTACACAAAGATGTTTAAGTGAAACAATCTCATACTGCAGCTGTCAGAACGTAAAATTTGAGACCAGCATTTCTCAAGAGAGAAAAACCAAACCCTTTTCAGTTAAAACCTGATGTAATTATCTGTATCATTAAGGAGTACTCAAGGTTATTGTATATAACATACACATGTTAAATTCTTACACACATGAAAGGATTCAGCCAACCAGAATCAGATATGTGCAGAGCAGATACGTGACTTTGTGGCCATCTGAAGCTTCAGATGTTAAAATGATTTATGGGTTCAATGTGTTTAATTAAGACGTCACCGAGGGTGCTGAGAGTGCATGTGTGAGAAAACATGATTGTGATATACAATGATGTGTGAATCGGGGCACTGAAAAGTTCACAGGAACATACTCGACAGAGAAAAGGGCACACACACACATGAACACAACACTTACACATGCACAACCCCGCTCTTTGAAGTGCATTTGAACTTGCTTCAAAAGAGCACAAAGTGTTTTTTGCACATGTGTGTTGTGCAGACATTCACATACATGGAGTACATATGCCGTTGAGTAAAAATCCTGATCCAAATGGCCTTCTGTTTTCTTTCACCAAGCAAAACAGACGACATCCATCATGAAAGTAGCTTTCTGGCTATATCATAGTCTACAAGCAGCATCAGGTTAACAGGTAAATACAACAAATGTGTACATGTTGTTTTGAATTGTCTGTTGGTCTGAAGTCTGTTCATTTTCAACAGCTCAACAATGGGATGCCTGTGCAGCCAAGAGTCTGTCTGAATGGTGTTTGAGTTTTAAAGAACACGTGCAACCTCTTAGGTATGGATGAAAAGAGTGAGCAGCGAGAGAATGCCTTCAGGCATTTCCTTCCCAAATAACTAGATCCACACTGAATGTTTTTTACATTTTTGTTTTAAAGATCTGCAGATTAGATTTACTTGTATTAAAATGTGCTAAACTAAACTGAAAATACTGTTATTGGTAGCTGAAAACATGACGAAATTAGCCAAAAGTGTTCAGATATTACCATATCCTAAATTAAAATTGATTTTAAACTCATCCAAAATGCAATTATATACGTACAAAAAAAAAATACCATGGTAATATCACATCACCTTACATAAATATGGTACTCTTTCAGTAATATGTTATATCCCAAAGTACAATGGTTGCCAGGGTGTTGCTAAGAAGTTGCTAGTGTATTCCGGTTGGTTGCTAGGCTGTTGCTTACTGGCCAAACAGTGCAGGTTAAACACCAAAATTTAGCAAAAGCATTTGAGCAAAAGCTTTAACTTAAGAATAAGTATAGTGATGAAGAAGAAAAATTCGTAGATGAAAGATAAAAAAAAAAAAATGTACTAGGGATGTACCATGGAAATTTTGTCCGTTACCGATAATTATTTATAAATGAAAGCCGATAACCGATACATTGGCCGATAACTCTAAATCCAAATTCTTATATAATTTTTGAGAGCCTAATACAAAAACAAAAGTCTCACCATTAAAAGCCATGTCCCAAGCACACAATTATAAGGTTTTCATTATAATCTTATGTAGCCTATATGACAGACATGCGCTGCACAATTTTCCTTCTTTGAAATAATTCCAATCATATTTCAAGCAATTCAAAACCATTATAGTGAACATCTGAACTGTTGCAGCTGAACGAAATACATTTTTTATTGGCTTTAATATATATCGACCAAATTTTCTTATCGGTCCAATAACACTAACATCAAAATTGAACATATTTCATCCGAAACCGCTATGGTGGCCGATATATCGTGCATCCCAAAATTTTATAAATGATGGGCAATCAAATTGAGCATAATTGTTAAACTTCACAATTATGTAAATGAAGAAAACCAGGTCAAAAGAGAATGTGTGTGCCTGTCTGCTTTGCATTTTTTGAGTTAACTAAGAGGATGTGTTTTGTGTCCTCCACATGTGCTGAACAGAGGCGAGTTCTCTCCGTTTCTCAGCAGTATTCACGCTCTCTACTGTGAAGCTGAAGAACTTTCAGCTTCACATCTGAACCGTACACAGCTTTCTGTTGCCTTTATTCTTCCCCCTCTCTTCCTCTTCCATTCATATGTTCATATCTCTGAGAAATTAAAGAGTTGTCGGAAGTGGAGGACACAAACTAGTCCTGTAAGTGAAGGTTGATGAGCGCTAAGTGGGCTTGATTATTCTAGGATGGTAAAGGCAGGTTCAGCAGGTTTGAGTGGGCATCCGCAGGTTGCCATGGCGACTGGTCCAAAGCGTTGAATAACACGAAGAGATAGACAAACAGGCAACTGGACAGATTGCAATTGACAGAAAAGGACGGAAAAAGGCAAAGGCGGAAAAATGGTGTAAAACAGAAAGACAAACAACGCAGAAGTGTTGTTGAACACAAGGTCAGTTGACATAAGAACACATAAAATCATCAGAAACAAAGCACCAGAGGTGGGAGTAAGTCACATGTGCAAGTCACAAGCAAGTCTCAAGTCTTAACCTTCAAGTCTCAAGCAAGTCCAAGTCAATTTTTTATAAAAGCAAGTCAAGTCAAGTCAACTCACTGCCTTATGTCAAGCAAGTCAAGTCAAGTCGTAGCTTGGGTCACAAGTCACTGGCAAGTCATACAAACGTTTGATGATTTCACTGAATTTATATATTAAAATAAGTTAAAACTACATAAAACTACATGTGGACTATGGTTTTATTTGCAACATATTTTTTTTAAATATGCATTTCCACATACAGCTGAGTGGTTACTACAATAAAAATCTAAAAAATAAAAAATAAATACAATTTCAAACTACATAGCCTAAAATGTAAATGTAACTGAAATTAGGCCAACATTAAAGCATGAAAAAATAAATATGCCTCACACATTGCAGAAGACCATTAAAAGGTATTAAACAATTCACAATTCAAGTATAATGGTTCCTATGCCACCAAATGGCATTCTTCAAACTGGCATCCCCTTTATATAAGTTATATATTTTTAATTATGAAGTTAAAACCGCCAATAGGTGGCGCCAAATCACCGTCTTAATGTACGAGTCATAGAAGCATTCAGTCAACTGATTTGTTCAAAATGGCAGATTCGTTCTGGAACTAAGCAACTAGGTCACTGAATCACAAATACGCATAACTCTTTCTGTGGCTTGTTTGGAACTATTGTCATTGGAGAAATAGAGCAAAAAAAGAGAATATTTGGAATATTATGTCTAAAATGTCACATCACAATATTCACTCTTTGTTTACTGAACTGTTTTATAAAATCATCACATTTGCAATCGCGCCAATATTCTGGAAATATTTTTTTATATATGTTATAATTATGAAAATAACTAATACTAGGGCCATTTTTCCACCACATTTTGAATTTTGGGTGCATATTAATTCTGCTGGAATTTTTTCCCACCAACCCCCTGATAACATCTATCCCTGCTTTAAGAGAAACATAAACGACAAAACTAACAGTTTTCTATATTGTTTTTCGTCATTGGAAAGAACGACATTTTTGGCTTTAAAGCATGATTTAAAAAGAAATGTGGCAAATGTTATACAAAACATATACCATCATTAATTATCATTTGAATATTGACAACATTAAGCTACATTTGAAAACATAATTGTGTATAAAGAGGCATGCTGTTTTGACCAATATTATTCTCTCTAGATTTAAAGATAGTCAAATTTACTATAACAAACAGGTTAAACAAGCCATAGCTTACTTTTAGACGTGGTGAATGAAGTTCGACTGTTATGCGTACAACAAATCTTCTTGCATGAATATGGTCAATTTCTAGTGTTTATATCCAAAAAGAAACGATGCTGGGAGATGTTTTTGTATTTAGCGCGCTCACCGCGATGTAGGCTATGTTTTTTCTGGGCTTGTGCAGCGTCACGCAATCGCGCAGAATCTGATGACTGACATCAACGGTTCCGTTGCTTTCATTTTGTTTATCAATTGATGTTGCGATGATTTATATAAAAATGTATATCAAGTCATTCTCGAGTCATACAGTTCAAGTCAAGTCAAGTCTCAAGTCATTGGATCTCAAGTCAAAGTCAAGTCGAGATATTTTCTTAATTTAGTCAAGCAAGTCTCAAGTCCTTAAATTTGCGACTCGAGTCTGACTCGAGTCAAGTCATGTGACTCGAGTCCCCCATCTCTGCAAAGCACTCTAGACTTTGAGCTAGAAGCTCTAGTTTACAGCTACAAAATGTTACTGCCTTGCCATCTACTACCTACATAAGCAGCATCCTAACTGAAATGGTGTGAGTGATCTGAAATGCTCTTCATGTGAAGCAAATCCATTAATGGTCACTTAGGCATACCACACAAATAACACTAGGGCTGCACGATTAATCGAATTTTAATCACGATCGCGATTTTGGCTTCCCACGATCAAATTCGCGTGACCGAGCGATATTTAAAATGCGTCATTACATTCACAGAACACTCCGTATCAAAGGGTTTTTTTTTTTTGTAAAGCCAATCTAGCGCTCCGTAAACCACTGTCTGATCACGTGCCTCCATGAGCCCGAGTGCGCGAGAGAGACCGTCTGCGCGCGAGCGACAGTGCACGAGAGACCGAGTGTCCAAGAGCGCGCTCGAAAGTGCGCGAAAGATACCGAGTGTGTCTGCGTACGAGCGACAGCGCGCGAGAGAGACCGATTGTGTCTGCGCGCGAGAGAGACCGAGTGACGGTGCGCGTGAGAGACCGAGTGTGAGCATTAGTAAATTGGTACATACATACTACATATTAATATGGCATGAAAGTTCGATTAATGGACTCCAATAATCAGTACTACAAACTCTTGTTTTGAACTATTGTTTAATAAGTAGAAATAATTCAAGCACATACACTTTGGAGGATTAAATAAGATTCAATTTATGCAGTAAGACTAATCACTGACACTGTACCACAACATTTTACATTTCTTAAGCGTCAAATAACAATGACTCTGAATTTCATCCATTAATCGAACTTCCATAGTGCTAAGTGCTTAGTTCTGCCTTGAAATGTTCTCATTTGGTTACATTCTGTTATGGAATATTTGTTTTTTATTGATTGTATATTTTGTGCGTTTTATTCACATCCATTATGCAGGTACAATGCAAGTTTATATTTTATATTTACACAATGTAAAATAGTGCCCTGTTGAAGTTTTGCTACATTTTCTTTATTGTTTTATTTGTTTTTATTTATTCTTTAAAGAGATGCACTGAATTTTGGTGAATAAGAGGACCTGTTTTATTTTGATGCACATAGTTGTACATTAGCAGGAATGTAGCATAATGTGAAAGCAGTTATAATTAGCCTATGTGACAATAACATTTGTTTTGGTTAAAATCAACAAATAATCGTGATAATTAATCGTGATCTCAATATTGATAAAAATAATCGTGATTATCATTTTGGCCCAAATCGTGCAGCCCTAAATAACACTAAAATGAACAACAAGAGACTTGACCAACGTTCACAGTTAATGTTGATAATCTGAAGTTCCTAGTCTATCATGCTCTTTTATGTTAGCATAACTGTCAGTCGATACATAAGAACAACAAATATGCAGTTGATCATAGATTCTGGTGTTAACATTTTACCGTAAGCTAGTCCTCAGATAAGCTCAAAATTAGGTCTAATAAGCACAAGAAATTACCACAATCTAATATGCAGCATATATCTGATATCTATTGGCGTAGTAAGTGTGTCTGCATGTTGCGAAGTAATCATGTTGCAACAAGTGATAAGGCCCATTCACACCAAGGATAGCTATAATGATAACTGTAAAGTTGTATTAATTGTTCTAATTCTAATTCTCATAGCTAAAGCGGTAACAAAACAAAGAAACAAAATAATTGGAATCATTTTTTCCAGCTGATGAATGTCAAAAACATTGTCTTTCAATCCGAATCGACCCAACTTTAGTAAGCTCGAACTTTTAAAGCAGCAGGCGACATAATAACTGCAATGCGCTTATAATATAGAGAATATTGTCCATTGGTGTGGATGCTTATATAGCCTAGTTATCGTTATTGGTGAGAACAGACCTAAAACTCTAAAAAATCAAAAATGTATTATCAACTGGTTTCCTGACCCCACCTTGGATGAAATTTTAACTGAGCTTGTTGCAGTGCCTTAACCAAGGTTTTGGCCAAAATTATATCCTATCGTTTTGTAGTTAACTGTTTAGAGCAGCCACTGCATCAGTAGACTGAGTACAAGCACAATTGAATACGATAGATTTAAAAGGCAGATTTAGTCTTTACCTGAGCGCTCGGCTGAGCTTGTCATAATTCATCTGGGGCTTGCACTTGCGGGCGCCCCACAGTCGTGCCACCTCGTCCGGGTCTTTGATGACGAACTCGCCGTAATCCCCCTGCCAGGCGATGACATCATGGTACTCCTCCTTGCGCAGCAGCTCCAGGATGAAGTGCCACAATTGGATCTGTCTGGAACCAGGACTCGACTCCGGCTTGTAGGCCCAGTCTGGGAAGGCAAACCCTAAAGGTCAGACACAAAAACACTTGAGTCTTGCCACTTCGACTCAATCTAGTCAATGTTTGGCGAGAGTAAGTTTCACCTAGGGGTGTGACGGTTATTATATAACCGTGAGACCAACGGTTATAGTTGAACACCGTCATTAGAACTCTATAACCGCCAAAACCGTGCTATTAAAATATTTTTTACAAACATTTTTTATCATAGAGAATGTTTAAATACTATTTTCATCTTACGAGGGAAACGGAGGCTGCTACTGCTGGAGATGATTCGGGAGAAGTCTGTGCACCTTTACCGATCAGAGCGCGCGCTGAGACGGAGTAAAGCCTTGTTTATACTCGACGCGTCTGCACGCTCGCGAAGGTGCGCACGGCAAAACTGATGCGTTCGGTGCGCAAAACCGGCAAGACCCCAGTTGGCTTGGCTGTGTGCACGGCTTTTTTTGTAACAGCGCGCGCGGCGCCGCGTCCGAGGATGAACGACTGCAAGCCGAATCTGCCCGAACATGCACACGTCTCACCGCACCGGCACGCAGTTTGCGCGTCTAAATTGCAAAGTTCATTCCAAAGTTTTTTCGTTAAGGTTTTGTTTACTGTGTGTGATTTATTTAAAACAAAGCACGTTCATTGCAACGTTTGTTTGTTTTGTTTGTTAAGGATTTGTTTACTGTGTGATACATTTAATGGAAAGCACATTCACTTCTAGTTGTCTTGCTGTTCATGTTAAATAAACGCCAGTAGCTAATCAGTGTCTGCTTGTTTATTCAAACTAAGTTGTCCTATAACAGACGAACAGTTATTCTGCAGTCTGTTAAACGACATTAAGCCAAGGGAACAATGTGTTTCCAAGGCGGTAGGCCTTTATGCAGACTAAAGGCTGATTTATACTTCTGCGCCGGACCTACACCGTAGCCTCTACGCCGGTTTTCATTTATCCTTCTGCGTTGTTGTCCACGTTGACGTGTAATTGCACACGCAGACCACTAGTAGGCAGTGTCCATTGGTATATTGATGGTGCAACCCACAGTATCAAGGCAAAATGAGGAAATGCGACGCTATCGAAGATTTTTGTTTTACCTGAGGGAGGGGTTCTAGCAGACCAATCACAAGGCTTGCGGTCCGCGTAGAATTGACGCGTTGTCACGTTTTTGGAGAGGCATACGTCAGGCTACACGTTCTACACAGCCTACGGCATAGCTATGGTGTAGCTATGGTTCGATACAGAAGTATAAATTAGCCTCAACTTTCCTGAATTTTAGTCTGGTAAAGTTTCTATGCAATTCCTTTCTCTCAATCATCTCTGAGTCTGAATAAGTTGTCAGAATTCCATAGTGCCTAGTTAACAAGCGCTTCGATCAAGAATCCTTGAGGCAGTAGTCAAAACAACACTCATATACACACACACACTCTACTTTTAGACTTAATACTTGCAGAAAAAGAAGAAAATAAGCAGGAGGTTGCTGGAGGCGAGACAAAAACATGGCCGTGACTTTGAGGGTCTCATGTCTCATTACAGAAACTGTTTGTGCTTTGGGACGTTAACATGGACAGATGGTTACACAACATGCTAAGTGACAGACCTATTACAAATTCATGCACAACGCTGAGTCAACGTGACGGTATGAGACGGGGGAAAAGCTCTTTGAAACAAGCCTGTCAAACACATCGGAGAAACGCCTGAGAGTTTGCCGTTGGCGTACTTGGTCAAATATGAAAAAGCAAAGTCTGCATACACAATCAGAATGAGGTGCAGTATTTCAGCTGACTCTAAATTAGGCACGATTTCCTATTAGGAAAGAAAAAACTAAACCAGAGAACACAACAATGAACCAAGATTATATCTCTTAGGCGCACCATGTCAGGTGGGAATGGCTGAAAATAACAGCATAATTCCCACACTCGCACACAAAAGAGAAAGAGAGGGTCTTGGCGCACGACGTGTTGTTGTACTCAGTGGAATGCCCCTTTCAGATGGTTCAGAGCTTGGCTGCTTATAAAGCCTATCACAGTGTTAAGTAGCGAATGCAGAACAGCTCAGCAGTACCGCCACCGCCAACCGCACACATGTGCTGCAGGGACGCACGCTGCGCAGGGGGGCGGTAGGATGACTTGGACATCGTGGGCTGGTACTAACTGTCCGTGACAACTGCTAAACAGTCGGCAATGTGGCTTGACTCATGACTGAGATGTTTGGTTGAGAGATCTAGCAAATCGGAGATGTAAAACTGACTTGACCCACTGAAAAGAAGCAGATCAGTTAGACTTCTTGATATAAGCGCATGGTTAACCCAGAGGTAATTAATACTGTCATATGGGCAACAAGTCAGTAATTATACAAATTTAAGTTTTACAAACATCAAGTTCACAAAATGTGGTTCATCTAGTAATAAACTTAAGTAACAGCTCAGTAGTGAGACCGATGTTGATTCATTAACTGCTCTGGTGGATTCAGCAAGTTCATTCAGTCAAGAATTTGTCAAACCAGCTTATGAAAGTCACTTACTAATAAATCAGACAACACTAAGAGACATGAATCGGACTGCTCTGGTTGTGCTGCATGTTGTTGATTCACTAAAAATAACCAGTGATTAACTCATGAATCAATTCAACAGAAAGATGCGTTCTCACCATTTTGTGGAAAATAGTCTTCTCAACATTCAATTCAGACTGCAAACACTTAATTCACAACATAAGTAAAATATGACTCCTTTTTCTGGCTGGTGGAAGTTTCAGCAATGCAGGACACCCTGGAAATAATACTGTTTACCGGTTGAAATTTTTTTTTTTAACCTCCCCACCAAATGAGCCTGTAACTTCAGCCCCTTACACAAAGAGGTTTGTAGTGAGACTTCAAAAAGTCTCCAGATCCTCAAGTTTAATGCATTTCCCACCATTCATTCCAATTTTACCAAGACATGTCACACTAAACAGATCATATATGATTAGTTGTGTGTTTGTGGGCTCAGACCTCCACCGAGCGAGTGGGCACACAGCAACACAAAGCTTCCCACAGTGGGTGAGCGTCAGCACTGAGTCACGGCGTATGCGTGAGTGTATTTGTCATTCAGCTTTCACAAGAAGTGCGCCTTTTCCCTCCGCTCTCATACCTTTTTCTCTTTCTCTCTCTCTCTCTCTCGTGCGTTGGGTCCCTGGCTCCCATACCATCTCCTAGCAACAAGACACTTTAGTGCTATAAATATATGTATAGCACAGAGATTTTTTTTTAACTCAATTAATCAATTAATGAAATCAAAATGCAAAAGCTATAGCCTAGTTAAAATATCCAAAGTACATTTGATTCTAATACACAAAGGCAGATTAAAAAGGACAGCTCACCTAAAAAAAAGAAAAGAAAATTCATTTACTCAACTTCATATCTGGTTTAAAACCTGTATGACATTCTCTGTATGGACAAAAACAGTTCTTCAAAATATCCTCTTTGCAGAAGAAAGTCATACAAGTTTGAAACAACCTTTGAGAGTGAGTAAATGACAGATTTTTACATTTTTGGGTGAAGTATCCTCAAGTTAATTTGCTATTTATAGCTATGGCATTGATAGGTGGTTACTTCAAAATAAATCTGCAATATTTTTTGATTGTATCAAAAAAAAAAAAAAAAACCTACTCAAGCCACACAATTTGACTGTACCAGGACGAGATACATGCCAAATTTGCATTCATAAGCCCAGGGTTTTTTTTTTACTCTCTAACCAGCAACAGTAATAATAATGTTTGCCTTACAAAGAGTGAATGAGAAAGCCACTGGCAGCATGGTGATGATCAACAGGTTGACGTTCTTTAATAAGAAGTAGGGACATAAAATAAACCCTGGCGCGGGCTAAACGGCAGACTCTGGGGAGGGCCGAGGAATGACTTTATAAGAAACTGCTTTGAGGTACTTTCAAACAAACCAGTGTGCCATAACACACTCTTTTTTTCACTCAAGACCACATGCCCACAAGACAACTTAGTGCGTGCACACAAACACGCTAAATCAAAGCGCAATAACAGCTAAAACAGGCACGTCCCCTGGTGTCAATGGGTTCTGCTGGGACTGCTGTTTCTCTGACGGTTACTGTCACTAATGGGTATGGAGTCAGGAGACCGCCAGACAAAACCCTCGCTTGACAGGGCCCTGTACACACACTTAGAAAAACAATATGACATAAGCATTACATGATAGCACCTGTACAAACTGTGCCGGCACGAAAAAACAAACCGGCTGACAAACATCTCACCGAACATTACACGCAAGGTAGGGGAAATTGGACACTAACATCCGTCTTGGCCTCGTTTGTTTGCCCTTTCTGTACGCAAAGTCTGTAAAAACACCACCTATTGCCGTCGTCTCTGTGTACGATTAGTGCTCAGAAGCAACAGCTCTTTTTATGGTGAAGCCGTGACGCAAGTACGAAAAAGAAAACAAAAAAGCCATCCTCTGCATCTCTGGTCTGTATTTAAAGGCTCAGAAATGTTTAGGGCCCCCGCGCTCATTCGTTCTGTTTCTCTCCATCTCTCCCCCACTTCCCTCCCTTCCTCCTATTCTTTGTGGGCTCTATATTTAGGCAGAGGAAAAGGTCGTTCTCCATCTACTAATGATGGTGGCGACAGGGAAAAAAAATGGCACGAGTGTGTGCCAGCTTGAATGTGCGCAGTATGAGTAATACAAAAGAACCACGAGCAGCTCTGCTGCCTAAATGCTTGTCTTACAATAGACAGTGTCACTCTGCCTTGCACAGTGCTGAAAAATACTGACTGCTGAATGATACGCGGCACTTCGGCGTCCATCTGCACGTTCAACAGTTGTTCGCACTGATTCAAGCTTAGCGTAGAATGAGTAGGCTAAGTGTTGTTTTGCACTAATGAGAACGCCCCGGATGGAAAATACAACAGAACCCTGCAAACTGCATGTTTATGTGTACATTCTCTCGAAGCAAAATAGATCTCACCTTCTTGTTTGCGTTAAGACGACTCATCTGGGTGATACCTGGAGGCTACTTGGTT